CTGGAGGCTGCTTTAAAGGGCACTTCAACTTTCAACTAAGAATTTCACCGTTTATTTTTATCAATTTGGAAGAGTTTGATTGAAGAAAAGGTTACAAAGCCTATAAAAAATTTTGAACTACTTTTGAAGTAATTTTTCTTAGCTTTAAAGTATTTTAACTCAACTATCATCATAGCTAAAGGAGCTCTGGTGGCGCAGTGCCTAAGGCATTTGACTGCTAAACCAGAAGGTTGGTGGTTCAAACCCCCCTGCTGCTCCAAGGAAAGAAAATGGGGCAATCGACTTCTGTGAAGATTTACTGCCTCGGAAACCCAACAAGGGTCACTATGAGTGAGAATCGACTCTATGGCACTGGGTTTGGTTTGGGTTTTAGTTACCAATATAGCTGTGACGTAAAGTTAGAAACTATTTGGCAGTGCTTTAAAATTAGAAATCATTGTTTTGAGAATATAAGAGGTTTTCTTACCTACTTTCTCACTCACCACTGTAAGTGGGCTTTATTGACAAGATTCAGTTTTAATATTCTTTACATTTTACTTATTTGTACACTAGTTTTTCAGATTGAATGTAATACTTTGTGTAACAGTTGGGATGAATTAAATTTATGGCGAATGATGTATTAAAACATTTGTATATTTAGCAGTGATCTTAGTACTCAGGAAAATTTTAAGAGTTTTTTTTCCAATATAATTGGGGAAATAGGTGGTTTCTGTGAAAGAACCTTTCCTTTGCAAAAATTTTTAACATAAAATTTCGAAAAGGTGAAAAGTGATTTCTAAAATCTTAACCAATAGGTCTGCCCCTGAGGTCAGCTCTGTATGGGGTCAGGCAATGCCAACAGTCTGTCCATCCGAGAAGAAAACTGTGGCGTGCTCCCAGGAGTCAGCACACTAGGCACGTAACGACAGGCATGCCGCAGAGAAGACTCCAGCCAGACTTCCTGGGCTCTTATCCAGGCTCTGCCACTTCCTTCTTACAGGACCTAGGACAAGTCATTTAGTTCCCTTGTGTTTCCATTTCCTCATTTGTAACCTGGGATTTGTAGTATCCTACAGGGTTATCATGTGGAGCTTAGAACACTTGTGAGCACATGACCAGCCCTTAATAAATGTCACCTACCACTACAGCCACCACATTAGTGTCATCTGCTTACTTTCCTTCTAGAGCTCTTCGGTGCTAACTGAAAGGCTGAGAGTTTGAGGCCACCCAGAGGGGCCGCAAAAGAAAAGCCTGGCATCTACTTCGAAAAAATCGACCATTGAAAACCCTACAGAGCACAGTTCTCCAACATACGTGGTGTCACCATGCCTAAGAGTTGACTTGACAACTACTGCCTTGGTTGGATTTCAGACATTTTATATCCCCTGAGACCTACCATGACATCTACCATAGTGCCCTGCATGCAGTAGGCTTTTAATAAGTGTTAGCCCTATTAAATACAGCATAGCTCTCTCGTCTTTTGAAAGTGCTCCCATATAAATATTTGCTTAGAGGCAATTCCCTCCTGAGAGTCTCAGTTTCATCTTCTAATCCCACAGTGAACATCCTTTTTTAACCGCAAAGTAACTTGTCTCCTGATAAACTTACTGCCGTCGAGTCAGATCTGACTCATAGAGACCCCTCCTTGAGTTCGTGAGGCGGTGTCACTGCAGAAGTAGATTGCCCAGTCTTCCTTCCGAGGAGTGGCTGGTGGGTTTGAACTGCCAGCCTTCTGGTGTAACTCTCCCATTATACTTCCAAAACAAAACAGAAAACCCACTGCAACTGAGTCCATTCCGACTCACAGCGACCCTGGAGGACAGATAGAAACTGCCCACAGGGTTCCCAAGGCTATCAGTCTTTACAGAAGCAAAGCCCAAACCACACCCACTGCTGTGGAGTTGATTTGACTCACAGCGCCCCTAGAGGACAGAGTGGAACTGTCCATAGAGTTTCCAAGGCTGTCAATCTTTATGGAAACTGCCACATCTTTTTCCTGTGGAGCAGCTCGTGGGTTCAAACCACCAGGTTAGCAGCTGAGCACTTAACCACTGTGTTACTAGGGCTCTTCCATTATACTTATTCAGTAGTAAAATCATTTCCTTGAAGACTTGTTTTCTGATAAGTCAGATGGAATAACTCACTAACATTTAGTTGATCCATCTCATAGTGACTCTTCCTTGGGTTTCTGAGGTGGTATTTCTATGGAAGTAGATTACCCAACCTTCCTTCCAAGGAGTAGCTGATGGGTTTGAACTGCCAGGCTTCTGGTTAGGAGTCAAATACCTTAGGCATTATGCCACCAGACCTCCCTGTTTTAAAGTAGTTGTTTTTAAAAAGTGAATTGGTTTTATGGTGAAAGCCAAAAGGTATCTTGTATGACGTCCTTCGGTGTGTGTGCATATTTTGTTTATTGGTGCATGTATTTATTCAGACATTCCCCAAATATTTCCCAAGTGCCTACCAGGTGCCAGGCAGCATACTAGGAGCTTAGTGATGCCTTGGTGAGGACCACACAGTGCCTGCCGCTGTGGTATTTACAACCTTGTACATATTGAATAACATCTGTGGCTCTGGATTGTAAAGCGCACTATTCCTCCAGGGTGTTGGATCTTAAGTTATTAGACCATAGTAGTTATGAGTACGGAGCCCTGGTGGTGCAGTGGTTAAGTGCTTGGCTGCTGCTGAGAAGTCATTGGTTCGAACCCATCAGTTGTCCATTAGGAGAAAGATTGGCAGTCTGCTTCTGTTGAGATTAAAAATAAAAAACAAAAAACAAACCTGTTGCCATTGGGTCTACTTTGACTCATGGTGACCCTATAGGACAGCATAGAAGTGCCCATTGTGTTACGAAGGCGGTGATCTTACGTGTTTTTGAATTTTTATTGTGATTTGGGTGGAAGTATACAGAGCATATTCATTTTCCATACAGCAGTTCATACACATTTTGTTTCATGACATTGACTGCAGTTCTTCCCAGTGTAACAGCTCTCTTCCCACTTCCTCCCAGTGGCTACCTTTTCCCTCTTTCCTGTGCCTTCCTGCCTCCTGAGCTGTCTCCCTGTGCAGATACTGCTTGTCTGTTCTCCCGTGGCTCTGAGGACCGTACCTACCTGATGTAAATGTTCACCCTGTATGCCTGTCTATTGTTTGGCGGGAAGCCAGAAGAGGGCTGTGATCTTTATGGAAAAAAGACTTCCATGCAAAGACACAGCGGTTTTAAGGGGATTAAATCATTTTTTTAAAGTCACATTTCTAGAAAGTGGTAGAATCAGGATTTAAAGTCCTTTAAAATTAACCCACTTACAAAATACAAAGCCAGTACTCATTACTAAGCCAAAGAAACCTAACCCATCGCATCAGGTGGATGACGACGCACAGTGACTCTAAGAGTAGAGCTGCCCCCAGGGTTTCCTAGGCTGTCATCTTCATAAAGGAACCCTGATGGCACGGTGGCTAAGCGCTCGGCCAGCTGTAATATGAAGCATATTTTGTAGGGTTAATTCATGATTAAGTGAGGTCATGTTTGTCATGTGCTTAACACTGTACTCAGCGCCTAGGAACGCTCAATAAAATGGTTGCTGATGGTTTCTTTTTTTAATACAGGAGCTAAATAAACCTCATCTTGGAGGGGAATTTGAGGAGACAGCTAAGAATAGTTTTATATGTAGGTTTCTAGTACTTGGAGAGAACTTTTGCCAAAGCTTTGGAGTTCATTTGCTTGTTTGTTTGGTGTGAGTTCTGCCCTGCCAGTTTCCAGAAAGGATTTGAAAGCGACGTCTCGCTTACAAGTGTGTTCCAGTGGTGAGGTAATGGAAGAAGTGCTGAACTGTGGAACCAAGTCGACCTAAGCATGATCCTGGGTGATCCCACAGGCTAGGTTTTCCCTATCCAGTTCCTGGCCCTGTGTATTACTAAGGAAATGGTCTTCAGGATTCTGAGGCTTGGTATGTCATCCCTAAAGTCTCCTAAGTTTGAAGAATGCATTCTAAAAACAGAGAGCTATAACCTGAAAGGAATTTCACCTTGCTCCTGAAGGAAGCAATCACCATCCCTTAAGTCGTCGTTAATGTGAATAACTTCATAGATCCTCCATTCATATCTCCTTTGTGGAAGTGCCCAGGTGGCCTTCAAGCTCAGCGTCATTCGTTCCAGACCCCTTGTATAATGGGAGCATTACACTTACACCAAGCCTTAGTTTGATGGTAGTTTTCTTACAAAAAGGACTGACGTCATAAGTTCTAAGACCTTGACTTTCTCCCATGGCTGTTAGGGATTTGGAGCACATTGGCAGCTGTATACAGCAGTTCATAGACATGTTTTGTCTGATAAAGACTTCGTATCAGGCGTCCTGAAAAGCTTTTTGCTGTGGTCCCTGTTTTGTGCTTGCGTGGCAGAAGTGGAGGTGCTTTGTAACTGGGTAGGTTGTCAGAGCCACTTTGGTTACTAGCTGTAGATAAATAAGGATAAAAAGAACATCCTTTTAGGAGATGAGGAAGGTCAAACCCCTGAAAATGTACACTGCTTGGACACTCCTGTCTCTGTAAGTTACTACTTAATGGTTTTATGAAAAAGATTAAGAAATTTTAATCAAGGTCACTGTGTAATTTAAATGCCTGAAAAATTCGATACAGTATCTCATCAAATTATAGGTCTTAGTTCTAATTTGAAAATGTGGTGTTGGTGAATGTTGTGTTTACCAGTGTTGAAATTGGCCTTTGATGTATTTTTTGAAAGGATTACAGACTATAGATTGCCATTCAGTTGTCACGTGGTGTCCATACACAGACAGGGTCACTCACATACATACTTTACTGAAGTAGCTTTCCCCACCTATTTTTCCTCCCGTTACAACGTGACACTGGTATGGGTACCTGAAGATTGTGCTGGTGCTTAGTAGATTTTTAAGATTGAAAGCCACTGGGTCTATATAGCTTTTCAGTTAAAAGGATACTAAATGGTGTGGTTTTTCAGTGTTACTTTTCTGGCAAAGATGTAACAGATCCCCCTTTGTTTTGCAGTTACTTCGAGAGCTTAAGCATCCAAACGTCATCTCTCTTCAGAAGGTGTTTCTGTCGCACGCTGATAGGAAAGTGTGGCTTTTGTTTGACTACGCTGAGCATGACCTCTGGGTAAGGTGAATGGCTGAAGACCCAAGCCCTTACTTTCAGTCAGAGACCAGAAAGAGTGACTCAAAACACCTAGGAGCTCGTCACACTCTGAGACACACATTTGGAAGTAACCAGAGAGAAGGTGGTGGACACATTATCAAGGCTAGAGTATTTTGCTTTGTTTTATTACATTTTGATCCTGTCACTTTGGGCTTTGTGATAGATAGGGAAGAAAACGATAGAATCTGAAGAATGTAAACTATTCGGTATTGTTTCATTGCTGTACGTTTTGAGAAAGTAAGACATTAACTGTGATAATTTATTTAGGTATAAAATTTTAAAACTTTTGATTTCCTGTTTCCCAGTGGAGTAAAGCAATGTAAAACGAGAAGTGGTATCATCATGTGAAGGGAGCAATGTGTTATATTTGGAAGACAGACTGAGATCTAGTTGGGGTTTGCAAAAAGGACAAGGAGGCCACATATTCTGACCTCCTGTAATCCCACAAGAGGAAGACAGAAGCACCATCAATAGCTCAAGGCCTACTACTGCAAGGCCAGACATGCTGCCTCCCTCCAGCCCTTTCTCGAACCGTTCCTCCCAAAGCACCACCACCTCTCTCCTGGGTTCAATAATTCGCTGCACTGGCCACACAGAACGCACAGGTTATGAGGTTTATTAGGGAAGCACCAGACTACAATTCAAGTTCAGGAAAGAAC